GTTGTTACTCAAAACGTAAATGGTGCAAAGGTACTCTCTGCTTAATCAATAGCTATAGGCCACTGCAGCTATTCCGTCGATAGATGTTTTATTCACAAGTGCACAGTACATTTAAACAAAAAAGTACCGTAAAATAAATAATATCATAGGTACGAATTTTTACTTATATACAGAATTTTGATACATATAAAAAATAACTTTTGATAAATTGAAAGCGTTTGAAATTTAATTTTAAAATATCTATGTCAACCTTCTAAAGTAATGGTTTGCAATCATGAGTATACTATTATATACATATAAGATATAACTAAATAAGATTTAATGTTGAAATAATAAAGTAGGCACTGATTTACTATATACAAATACAACTATGTAGCAAACATTTAAAAAATTAAATTAATCTATTGATAATCGTAATTGTTCTTGTAATTTATTTCAATTTATAATTTGTTAATATTATTATTATTTATTATATGAGCAAATGTATTTATTTATGAGCAAATTGCATTATTAAACTTTACATAATGGAAAAATATAAGTACAAGTAGGTATATATTTTTATTCATTTTATGGATATTAACATTTTTAATTAGAGGAGAAAGCAGTAATGGTCCGAAATTGGCTTAAAATAATTTTACATTTTTTGATGTACTTTCCAAACAATTAACACATATTTTCCAATTATATATGAAATGTGCGAAAACTTAGCTTAAATTAATATTTTATTTTTGTCCTTATCTGATTCAATTATCTCGATGTTGATATCGCTTTGTTAGATATTAAAAAAAGAAGTATTTACAACTTTTGAATAAACGATTTATAAAATCTAGTCATACTTTTAGATAAATCAAAAATGTTTCATCTTATTGTATAATTAACGTTTATGTATAGTGCCTTTTTCTTCCGTCCAAAAACTAGGACCGGGTGTGAATTGCTTATCACAATACTGAATACTGATACCCGTTCCCGTAATGTTTATTCACCAACATAATATAAGTTATACTTAAGTGGGGGCCGCTAACCACTTAGAAAAGCTAGCATTCGGCCCACGATATGTAGAGTACCTAGTTAATTCATTATAACTTGTAGCTAATTAACTACTCGTTTGAAATTCAATTTTTATGTATGTATTAAAATTCTCAGAAAAATATTTTGTTTTGAAATATGCTGTCATTTAAAAAAGTAAAAACTTAAAAATGGCAATAGGTACTATAGGTATAAAAAATAAATAATATAGTTTTGTTTTTCAAAAATGTAGATAGGTAATGAATAATGACTTAAAATTATGTAAAAAAAATATTTCATAAACGTTTTGACATAATGCTGCAGCCTGCAGAGTGTGTACTGTCGTACTCAATCATCTCGTATATACCTAAGGTGCAGATTTCTTAAACATTTTGACACTATTTTTTACGGCCCCTTCTGAAATTTACACTAGAGCAACAATGTTGTGCTACCATGTTTGAAAATGAATTGTTTAAAATAGTAAATTCAAAATAAATTTGTGCTTGTTTAAATGTGGACTTAAAATTATAGATTAAATTGGACGAGGTTAGACCATGATGATTTGGCGTAAACCGGTCATTACTTTCTCTCTAGTTGACATATTGGGTATCCTGTGTCACGGTATTCAACACTAAAATGGAGTTTGTTTATATTGAAATTATTGAGTACCCACACGTTTACACGGTTACTTATTCTTAGGGCTTGGATTTATACGCAATAAAAATTGATAAAATATGCAGTAATACGTTTTTAGATTATATCAAACTAACTAATTTGTATACATAAATTGCTTATACCTAATTATGTATGCATATTCATCAAAATATCCAAAAAATATGCATTTTTTTAAATTGAGAATTTACTAAATCATGGACATATAGTTGATAACAATTCAATTTGGATTAAAAGAAAAACGCATGCTAATATGTAGAATATATAATATATATATAGTATATTTATATATTATATGTATATGCCATATGCGTATAGCGTATATTATAGCATTCCTTGTGTTTGTACCAAATAAAAATAAATTATGCATGCAGTATAATGGTGTGTGTTAAATTAAAATATATTTTAAATTGTGTCTTGAGTCAATACGTTGTATTATATATATATATATATATATATCATGACAATAATATCTATATTATACACAGCTTGTAGCTCATAGAAAAAGAGTAGATAATCCTTTAAGGTTATTTTTAATATTTGTCTGGACATCTAGGACTTGGTGGTTTCACTTTCTCAATTCACAAAAACTGTAAATTCTTCGTTATTGGTGTTGAAGAATGGTGTCAATATAGTAACGAGTGATAAGTATATTCTAGTTCTACAAAAACTAGAAAAAAGATTAAGGGCCTTCCAAAAACTGTTTTGTCTACGGGGACTAGATTACTCGTATGTCGAGTCTTTTGTTCCTAATGTTATGTAACCCGGTTAGATGACAGTAAGAAGTAACCCAGCAAGGTAAAGGCGTAAAGTTAAGTATTATAACTAGTATCTAACGATTGGGATCAAGGAATTGAAATATTCCGCAGCTCCGACACCATACTCTTCTGAACAAACACTAGGATTGATGATAGCTAGGAATTTAGAACAAAACCACTTTGTGGGATTTCGGCATTATTATTGGATTGGCCCAAAAGAAGAAATAAATTCGACTTGAAGGTCATGGTAGGAGAGATATGATGTAATTAGAAAGAACTAAGAAGGATATTATTAGGGCAAGAAAAGTTGGCATTGACGTCATGGGCGTAGGTAGGAAATATTTTCGGAGGGGGTTTTTGTCTAAATCCTAAATAATATGCGAGTTAATAATATTCTGGAATAAATTCACAAAAAGCTCAAGATTGTTTTATTTAATTTCGGGGGGTGTTTGAACACCCAAAACCCCCCCTTACCTACGCCCATGATTGACCTTATGTTAAACAGTTCCGGCAGCGTCGTCGATATCACAAACAAAAAAAGGGTAAGAAAAGTTTTGGTTTGTGTAAAAGTCTATTGTACCTTTTCGATGTGAATTACGTTTCGTGTATTTTGTTGTGTACGTGTAAGTACCTTCCGTGTGCATATTATGTAAATTTCGTCCTGAGTATTTTTATATTAAATTGTAATTTACAACCAATGTTTTTCTTCCTATTTTATCAGACTTAGGACTGTCAACATAACTGTTATAATATGTATTGGTATGGTTAAAAAAATATTGGTTTTTTACCAACACTTTTTTATTTAAACTTAATAAGCAAAAACAAAAAAAAATACATTTTTATGCTCCATGTTATATTAAATATCTATTATTTTTAAATTGCATATTTTTATTGGTACTACCTGTTGCATTTTTTTCTGTGCCAACTTGGTCCTTTATTACTTATTAACATATTTATTATGAATTATAAGTTTGTATCGAAGAATGTAAAAATTTGAATGAGTATCGTCTCACAAATTCAATTCGAGTTATTTTTTTAGTTTCTAATTCTTAAATTTACCAGATAGAGAACCGGATATAGGTACTCTTTTGAAACGAGTCATTATTACGACTATTAACGAATATTCAATTATTTATACAAAAATTAATATTACACAAATTATTTTTGTAAAATTCAAATTCAAATTATAATATAGGTATTGTAAATAATGCAATTTTTTAATATTCGTATTGGTCGTGGTACTTTTGAAATTGGCTCACGGTGCATAGAGAAACTGCTCCGTTATACCAATAATCCTATTACTAATGGATGTATTTATGTTTTAATTAAAATACTGTCTATTAATTAATATACATAACAATAACATTAATTGTGTAGTTAAAATTAAACTGTAAAAATTACTTATAGATCCTCAGCTCGTGTATAATTAAATGTTTTGTTTTTGTCGTTTTCTAATACACTGAGGAGATAATATTACATTTCAAAAACTGGATACTTAACTCTTATTTTATTTACTATCGATTTATTATGAGTTGTATATATTATGTATGATGAATTGTCAAAGTTATTTTCAATGACTAGGTTATTCATAAATAAAGTGCTCGTTTAGATGTTTTGTTTGATAATATATGTATGTCGTTGTCATAAAACAATCTTATTTTATTTTATATGCAATTATATATATCATATGCATAGTATAATATCATTTTATTATTTTGCCCAATACTTAACAGCCAATGGACATTGTTATTATCATATAATATATTACTTTTAAAAATGCAATGGGATTAAATGTATAATATACACGTCACTGTGGTATACATTGATAAGTATAATGATTGATATGACACAAGGCATTATAAAATATAAATTACGCTACAATATAATCGTTTCTAAAAACTAAATTATATAAAAACGCGGAGCCTACTAAAATATATACGCTGCGGCTCTAGCGGTCACGGTCCCGTAAGTATTAGAATAATTATTATGTATGTTCCTATATAAAACATCAGGCATTATGCACTCAGCGCATATTATGTATTATTATATTAATTAAATTTGTTTAGGACTTTTAATTGTATTACATATACACGCCACATTACTATTTTTATAATATGACTTATCTCTAAATATATCCTAAAAAAAATATATTTACTCCGTGACGAATTCCGGTTAAATATTAGAAAGCCATGATAATTCCAATTTTTTATTTTTAGCAATTATTGAAAGTGTGCTAAAAAATCAGCGTTTTTTACATCAACGATTCCCGAGTGGGGTATCGAAGACGGGACACAGGAACGTCGAATTTATTGTTATAGTTCCTATAACAATCTCAGTGTACCGCCAACTATACCAGCGTAATGGTCGGTGTCGGGTGATCGAGCAGTTATTTTTTATTTCAATAATCGTACAGCGTTATTCACAGTGTTTATATTATTTTTCATTGCTTCTTATTAGTTGTTAATACTTTCACCGGTTTCGCGGGTTATACTCGTTTCGTAGGACACACGTTTCAGTCTCGTTGGCAGCGGCGGTAGGTAATCAACGACCAAACGCTATCTTTAAATCATAATATTATTATTCATCGGCTCCACGAAGGCTGATTAATCTAGCCTTCGCGCGTCGATCATTAAAGCTGCAGTGGAGCATCTAATAAAATGAAATTATATTAAATTATGGCGTTTTATCGACCGCCAAACAGCAACAGCAGTCGCGACGTTGATATCGTATTACGTGGACGTAATAATAACGTCGTCAGTCTGAGCGCAACACCTTTAATTTATCATTGATTATTTTATTGTGACAAAATATAATATGATTAACAGTGTAGCGTCTACCGAGTAATATAATATTCTAATTGTGTCGTCGTTTTAGTTTGTGATTGAATATTATAATATATTGTGTTTGTGGTATTTTTTTTTTGTCATGATCTCATAGTTCCCGAAGAAGGACGAAAATAATCGGTTTTATTTTTCGTTTTCATTATTATGAGGTAACGAATGGTACTAAATTTATCTGATTTACTTCTTCCTAGTATATTATTACGTATAGTAAGTTATCGTACGATCTTTGAAACTTTGAGTTTTTTTTCAGATTTTCAATAAGTCCTCTGTCCTCGTGCAGTCGAGGAAAATGTAAATACATTCTCATAAATATAATTACTTTTTTGACAAAACGTCTATTTTATGAATATTTTTGAGTTACTTTTTTGTATTATTTTAATTCTGCTTGTTTATTTTTTTATTATTAAGTATCTTGAAGATATAATAATGTTATGACTTAATAGCAAATTGAAGAAGCATTTAAATAGTAATATAGTTGTTAGTGTGTAGGTATATATAATGTGATACATCGTGGACAATGGGCATAGTATGTATATTTTATACATTAAATGTATTAATAATTTATCTAGTTTCGTAATTGTTTACATTAACATTTCATGTATTATCACTACATTACGACTGCGATGCTCTAAACTTGTATATATAATAATATAAATGTAACCATTAAAAAAAAGTATTAATTACTTTTCAAAATCAAGACTCTCTTCTATAAATAAAATAATATTATATTATATTATATTATAGGCGGTAGCCGATAGCCGATAGGTATATATTATGTAGAACAGATATCTCCAAATCTACGTTAATTATAAATTATAATTATCGGTTATCGGTGTGTTTTTTCTTCGTGCTAAATCCAGATAATTTGTGTAGCAATCACGTTTACTCGTTAACCTGTACGTACCTTTATTTTCTACTCGTATCGGTTCAATTATATTAAGAATTTTGGAAGTGGTGATTTTTCTGACACGCACATCAAATAAATATATTAATATATTATATATACGTCTAACGATCAACCTGCAGTTATGCGTCAAGAATTATTGTAAAACAAGTTTTATAATAGTTTTTCGTTAAATCTACTCGCGAGGTAGAGCGTTCCCGTAATTTGAAATTAGTATTATCTCTCTCAAACGTTAAAAAAAATTGTATACAGAAAAAGTACAAATTATTGTATTTCGATATTCGAAGAGACTCAGAAAAACTCGCGGAAAAGTCGATCTCGAGTAGACTTCTCGACACCTATTATTCAAACCTGTTTTCATAATTATTATTGTCGCTTCACTAGGTGAAACGTGCAGACGTTAAAAAACGCGTCTTATGATTTTCCGTGTCACCGCGCCGTGTGACATTTCATAATATTACCATATTATATATAGCTGACAAAGACGGAAAATCACCGTTTCCTTCTCCTCCTCTTCCTCGTCAACAAAATCCCCTCCACAATACTCATAATTTATTTCAGATCTGTACAAACCGTGTGCCGTGCAAATATCAAACAAATCTTATATACCTCTGACCAGTACTCTGTGGTGATATATATTTATACCTACGTGTAAAAGGAAACTGCGTATAATTTCGATACCGTAAAATCAAAAAAAATGACTACCTTTTCGCTCTTCGATTCTTAAAGAAATGCCCAAATCAATAAAATCGCTCAGCAAAGTCAATCTCTGGCATAGACTGTTTTCAAAATTATTATTGCTGTCGCTCCACTATAGATCAAACGGGCGGACGTTAAAAAAACTCGTCCAACGATTTTCCGTGTCGCCGCGCGGTGTGACATGTCACAATAATATTATTATCATACTAGGTACAAACAGAGACGGAAAATCGCCGTTTCCTGCAATTCCCTCCTCGGCCTCCTCAACGTGCGTAATTTATTTCAGACCTCGTGCCGTGCAAATAATCAAACAAGACGTCTAATACACCTCGTAATATACCAGTAGTGCTCTGTACGCGGTATACCTAGTGTGTGTAAAAGGAAACTGTGTATAATGTCGATACCGTAAAACGATAAAATTAGTGCGTGCCCGCAGTTCATTGAACCATAATAAACGTACCTGCAGCGGCTCCGCTATAGTAACGTACTCGTAACGCATACGCGCACTGCACACACGACTTGCACCACACCACCACCACCACCACCGCATAATAATATGACCGCGCGGTGGCAATATTTTCAAACACTACTTTTAGATTTTCATTACCCGTCGCCGCACATTCGTGCCGGCGGGTCGTCGTCGTGTACATCGCCGCCACCGCTGCGTCGCTGTGGCAAAGTTCCAACGATTGTTTTTCGTGCACACCTATACCTCCTACGATAGGCTTATCGTCGCCTCGACTGTAATACTATCGTTGTTTACATAATAATATTTCTGTTCGCTTTCTGTGTTTTTCCACAAGATCCGACGAGATGGTGGAGGCGCTGTCGACCAGTTTTCAAAATCTCTACAACAAGTACACCAGATCGGAAAACGGGCCGCAGGACGGCGGCAGGCGCGAGGTGTACATAGTGCCCGTGAACAATAACACAACCGTCGTCGCCGACGACACTCAGAGTCAGTTCCTCTTGCAGCGACATCGTCCGAAGGTTCGCAAGGCGTTCGTGTTCGACGCCAAATACGTGTGCCAGGCGAAAACCCAGAGATGGCAGATCATGAGACAGAGCAGACTGCGCGTGTCCACGGGACAGTGCTGTCCGGTCTGCATACCCGTGAGTAGAACACCTTCCGGTTGGGAAAAGCGTTTTTCAGGGACGTTTTATTTTTTTCACGCCGTGAATGACGCGTGCGTCCAACAAGTCGCCTACTCGAGTAAAATATTTCTGCGAAAGCCTTATCGCGTTTAAGTTCCAAAAAGTTTAACACCATCGACCCCGCCAAGACACATAGTATTGCAATATAATATTATTTCTACGGAATGTAGTTGTGTGTGTAAAACAAAATTTTGTATTTTAAGATCGGTAGGTAGGTATATGTAAACCAACAACTGCGCTTACCTTTTGGTTTTACCTCCTGGCATGAAAAGTATGATTTCGTCCAATAATAAGATTCTATCGACATTTATTTGTCGTTTATAAATAATTGAAAATTGAAGACTTACTTGTATTTTATATCGATCAATTGATTACTGCAGTCTGCGTTTGACTGGTTAAATATTTGTTGTTTTCGAAAAAAATAAATATTCTTGCATTTAAAATAATAATGTTAATCTGATTTGCAGATAATATTCTATAAAAATATCCCGGACTTCATTTCATTCCAACCAAAATGTAAGCATTTCATTTTGATACCTATAGACGAAATCAAGTTTCAATTATCCTTACTTACTGCTGATTAATATTTTCATCAGCCTAATCGGTGCCTGCACAATATTGTTTGGGATAATATTATTGGGTTACCCCACTTTTTAGATACCTATCTACTTATATTGTGTTTATATATTATAATATTATATGCATAACTATCATATATTTTTATTATATCTACAATGAACATGTTCATTTTTATATACATTTGTTTTATTCAAGTAATGTACCTAACTGAAATTTGTACTGAATATAATAAATAATATTTTTACATATTTTGAGTAGGTACCTATAAATTATCAACGGCTATTATTTAGTGTAATTTATTGGTCTACCTACTCAGAAAATGATCGAGAATGCAACTGGTCCATCGACCTTAAATACAATTATTGGTATATAAAAAGGTCATATTAAGCTCAGTTGGTAAACTTTTATTGGCCATTTATAATAGTTAAGTAAATTATCAATACATAAAAAAAGGCTTCAGGGGGGTATTTAAAATTCCTATTATTATTCATGAGTTCGGGATCACTACCTTGCTGCCACAATTTACGTAGGTATAAACCTAATTCACACTTGCATCGCAATAAATCGTTGCAGTTTGTATTATTAACGTGTGTTTTTATTTTCTAGAACGTGACGTCGGGTAACGCAAAAGTCGTATCAAATTTAAAGAACTTATTGGACATATACAACATCAGTGCCACTCAAAAGTCGATGTTCGGTTGTTTCGTTGACGATTTAAAGTTTTTCTACCTGCTTAAAAGTCAAGAGTACAAATACATATATAACGAAGTAAATACACATGACTTAGAGCAGTACTTCTGCTGTATTTATGTAAATGCAGTGGCGGGTCCAGGGTTGTATTGGGGAAGGGGGGGAGCGGGGGTCCTAAAAAATTACTTCTAAGCTATATGATATACATTATAATGTTCTAGTTCATGTGTTCCCTATAAATATGAAAAAATGGTTATTGAGGGAACGGTATTAATTTTACTATGGTTGGATTAGGAATCGTTTATGTTAATTAGGTACTTATCTATAATAATCAATAATCATACTATAATATATATTAATTATTTTATTTTAAAATAACTATTTAAGAGGTCTGGAGGAGGGATGAGGCCCCTAGCCCCCCCCTGTATCCGCCACTGTAGTAATGTGCATGATAATCAATTTATTGAGGTATAATTCATAAAGGTTCTGGAAGACGAAGTTGTGAAGAGAGCAATTGCTGCGGCTGCACGTAATGCATGTGCTGATGATGCGGTGGTTGGCGATAGCCGTTTTGACGAAGAGATGAGAACACAGCAAGCAAACACAAGACGTATACTAACGATCATAAGCGCAAATGTGAAAAATTGGGTCTACAAGTAAATTTGTTTATTTTCAGTTCCACTGCAATGTATGAAAAACATCATTATTGATTGTGTTTTGTAGGGTAATCGGTTGGTTCACCTACCGTATGATCTCGTTGTTGGCCACCAGCCTCGTAGTCCAGCCCACCCAAATTGAAAAGGTGAGGGAAGCAGAACAGAGTGGCTTACCCGTTATTTATTTACCATTGCACAAAAGTCACATGGACTATATACTTTTGGGATTGGTGTTGACGGTAAATAACATCAAACCCCCTCTAGTAGCAGCTGGAGAGAACCTCAGGGTTTTTTTCATTAGGTACATGGTTCTTCTTTCACAATTATTTAAAAAAAAATTTTTGTAAAAATGAAATGCTGATTGGTTTTATTTTAATTTCAGTAAACTGTTGAGTTTCTTGGGAGCATTTTACATCAAGAGACACGTAGATACAAAAAAAGATCAACTCTACTGGTCAGTTTTGAGCAGCTACATTAAAAACAGTATGAAAAATGGACATCATATAGAATTCTTTTTAGAAGGTGCAAGAACTCGAAGTGGAAAGTGTTGCGTTCCTAAAGGTATGCTAATTAAACATAAACATATTTAGGTGTTGCATAAGAAATATATTTTAATGATTTCCAAAAATAGCTGGTTTATTGAGTATCATAGTGGAAGCTTACCGAGAAAAAGTTATTGAAGATGCTTGGATTGTACCCGTGTCTATGAACTATGACCGGATATTGGAAGGGAATTTTGTCAGAGAACAACTTGGTCAACCAAAAAAGAAGGAAACTTTCTTCGCTGCAATCTCGACATTCATTAAAGCTATTTGTTCCCACTATGGAATAATGAGGGTAGATTTTAATGAACCATATAGATTACGGGTATGTTAATTAATTTTATTAATTATTTAAATTATTATTTTAATTAAATATATTATAGTTATTGGTTATAAAATCAATTATAACAAAATAAATTGACACATTCATGCAAAAAGTGATCAAGTAAAAATGATGATGATTTTTTTTGAAATAATTAGTACTTAGTAGTGACTAGTGAATACTTCATAATTATTTTATTATTTCACTTAGTCAGTTTTTGCATTCCTAAATGACATACATAGTTGCCATTTGTACAAAAAGTGTCTGAGTAAAAAAAAACAAAAATTAAGGTGCTGTATAAAATTTAAATTTAATTTAAATTTATAATAATTTTCACTTGATCATTTTTTACATGACAGCAAAAAAACACACATGAATTTGAGGTTATCCATAATAAATAACTAAATTTTGATTAAATTAAATTTATTGTACTGTCGTGTACCTTATAATATGTATTTACTACATTTATAGTTTTACAATATAAACTTATTCAAGAACATTTATTTTACCTTACAAAAATGCATTTTTTAGTAAAAATTGTGCTGTAATCTATATTTCTTTTAATTAATTTTTAAAATTATAAATTTAAAAGTTGAAGTTTAATTTAACTAAATAATTATTAACAGTGTATTTGATATTTTTTTTCAATATTAGATATTTAGATTTCACAAAATAGCTTTTGAAACAAATTTAGCCTCTTGAATTTTATTACTAGTGATTTTGATATAAGTATATTATATTTATATCTATATCTATGGATGTAAATTACTGATTTATCTTAGTAAAATATTGTTTTTATATCATATTTTAGGATTTGTATGAATCAATTGATAAATTGACACAATTAGAAAACGAATCTTTACAAAAGAATGGTATGGAAATGATGTCTACAACTATTCGCTATAAAAATACAGTTGACAGAATGGCAAAACATATAGTTTATGGTAATATTGTTTGTTTTAAATTAAAAACTATTAATGATATAAATTAGATTACCTTTAAAAATCTATTGTATGTTGTAGTTGTATTATATTTTTGATCGTTCTTCCAATACATTTTTATGTTCATTTACTTTTGAGTTAACTATACCAATTCTCAATTTTAAATTTTATGTACCAGACATTTGAGTTAGTATTTGACCTTATGGTATTTCTTTAACCTTAACTACATTCAGTTAAATTTCAATTTAAAATTATATAGTTTTTAAGCACAACAAATACACTAATAGAACATTTTCATAGTTCATAAGTTCTAGAAATTATGCACTTATGTGCTTTTATAGTTTAACATATTATTGAAGTGGTGATGAAAATAATTCAATGGTTATCCTTTTTTTCATATTTAAGACATGTAATATTTTATAGATTGTTGGAAATCAACTCCTATTATGTCAACGCATGCAGTGTGCTTTTTACTTTTGAATAAGCATAGAAATGGTACTACTTTAGAACAATTGGCCAAAGATTTATCGATGATGCGTGATAAACTTTCTCAAGCTGATAGAGATGTCGGTTTCAGTGGAAGTTCCATAGAAGTTATCAAACACGCAGTAAGTATTAGATGAAAACAATAAAATTTAATATTTTATAAATTTGTTATTGTTTTAGCTTGATCTTTTAGGGCCAAAATTAGTTGTGTGTGAAAATACTGACTCTGGCCGTATTGTTAAACCAATTCTTGATGTACCAGCCTTAATAGAACTGTCATATTACGGAAATAATCTTATTTCCCATTTTATGCATCAATCATTAGTTGGTCAGTATTAAATATAATATGATTTATTATATTAATGTAATATTTTAAGATTGTTATTTTATATTTGTTTATAATTTTATTAGATGTTAATCATAACTAATTTTTTACAGCTCTCACAATATGTAAACTAGTCAATCTGGACTTTTGGAACAATGATATAACAGAAACAAAAATCTCAAGAAATGAATTGATTGAAGATGTATTATTTCTTATCAATTTATTGCAATTTGATTTTGTTTTTATCAAACCTTGTGATAGTCTGGATAATATTGTGGATAGAGTAATTAGACGTTTTGAGGAAGAAGAAATTATTTTGATAGATTTGGTACTTCAGAAAAAATTATAATTATAATTTATAAATGATATATTAACATTTAGTTTATTTTATAGATGCTTGAGGAAGAGAGGCGTAGCCAAACTATTGCAAACATGTTAGATGGTGATTCCGATGATGATGATTATCAACAGCCATATGTCGAAATCGATGTTAAATACCGTGTAAGTATTTTTTATTGACTATTTTGTATAACATGACTTTTCCATCATAAATTCATGACCAGCCTCTTTATTCATTATATTATAGTATGTAAAATTATTTTAAATTTTAGGTCAACACTAATGAGAACAGTTTAAATAAATTAAAGTTTTATCGATCAGTTATGATGCCATACTTAGAATGCATGGCTGAAAGTGCTGGAAGTTTTCTTGCTGTGTCAGAAAATTCAGTGATAGAACGTGAACACGTACAAACAATTTTGAACCAAATGCACGAGAATTTGGAAGAAGGAATCTTGTCTTATGGTAAATTTTGTTGGTCAAATTTAGATTAACTCTGTATTACATAAATGAGCATATATATTTGTTTCCTATTAAATAATTCATGTGTATATAAAAACAATGTTTATAGGCGAAAGTATATCTCTGGATACCATCAAACATTCGTTTTTGGCTTTTGAATTGTTCAACTGCCTACAAATCACAACAAAAGACAATGTTAAGACATTGCATATTATTAATAATCAACCCACTGAGTTAAATCCAAGTATGCAGGGCATGTCAGAATATATTGAACAATTTGTTAAACAAATAAATTAAAACTGTAAAGTATTGTATGTTTAATAATGTTAACATAATTTAAAACTGAATTGTACAGTTATTCAATTACAGTAAATTGGACTAACTGGTTAATGGATTTATCGTAAAAAGTTATGTAGTTAATATGTACATTTTTAAATATTTATTAAAAGACATTAAAAGCAGCACAATATTTATGAATTGGATCACATTGTTGTGTTAAACTATGCTCAAACTATGATATTCAAAATAATTTTTTGATGTAATTTTTTTTTTTGTCTTAAAATATTAAATTTAAGATAATGTATGTGTAAATATTTGTTATTTTTAATGTTATAAAATTGGGATATTATATTTAAAAAATACTGTAATTGTATTAAAAATTGTATAAAATCTAAACCTTCTAAATCCATCAATGTACTCTACCAAAAGATTAATTATGACACAAAAACCTTGTTTTGTACATTTACAATCAATTTTCTTCTCCAAATAATTTTTTAAAAGTTGTTTTATTATTTTCAAATAAATTACTTATTAACAATGGAAGTATGCCTAGTATACTTAATATGAGCAATGTTTTCTTTTTTTTTGTTTATATGTTTTTATGATGTGATATAAAGTTGTACCTATTCGTTCACTATTGACCAGAATAAAATATGTAACTACAATAAGTTATGACTGTATATATTTTTTTATTCAGATAGGTATAATATATTGATTGTTGTCTTTTAAAAATTAATTATTATGTGCGGAAGTACTGAGTAGGCCTCCTAGTTTCTGAATCCAGTGTGAACTCCAAAATTAAAAATCAAAAAAAAATTTCTTTAGTAATTTATAAGTACAAAATATACAATGTATCAAAAAATTAGAAAGTCTAATAATAATAATATATTATTGTTTTTAGAGTTTGTAAATTATTACCTTAAATTAAATATGAACAATTGTCAATTTCTGAGATAGCGTTTATTTGTATGTGCTAAGGAAAATATTATTAGTCTAGCATATTTAGTTTTAAAACCATTATCGGAGCCTTCAAAATAATATTGTAGGTCATTAGACAACGGTTCTACTACAATCACTTTTTGGTTCAAGTCTAGTGGTGTTGAACCGGTATACTATATTTTTATTATTTAGGACAGTTGTACTTTAGCTAGGTATCACACGTTTTTTGCAATTTTTTTTTTCAAAACTGATGAACCTATGTTTTAAAAATGATAATTCCCAAAAAATAGGGGAATTCTATAATTTATATTGTGGCTTAAATATGTGTAAACACAATACCCTGATGGTATTTATCTGAAAAAATGCATAAGTTATTTAACGTTTTATTGCAGAACTCCGTGTATTAGGAAATAAAATATTTAACTATTACAAAAAAACCTATACACACACACACATCAGACCAACCCACTACCGACTACACTATCACTGGTGACTTTGCGGATGATAAAGCTATCAGCTGTCCACTTTCACCCTCTCGAGGCACCCACCTCAAGATCCAAACCCACCTCAATATTCTATTGGCGTGTTACAAAGTCCTATTGTCACAGGACCATCCTTAAGTGGTTCAAAAACTGGTTTAGTATATTTAAGAATTCCAAAAATCTGAATTGTAATATATGTATAATTTAAGCATTAAAGGAGGATGAGCATGCTTAAAAAATTACTCTGTACCATAGAAGTTGTATTATAGTATTCTGTAATATAGAAGTTTAACAATGAGTGTAGATTTTTTTACTGGAAAACATGGTTTCTTATTTAATACAGCTTATGGAAGGGTTTTACAATAAACACCTATTATACAAATTGTAGAGTAGAATTTTTTCTTGAATAGTAAGAAGCCCGATTTTTGATATTGTATTCCAATCGTTCAATATCGCATGCTATATTAACAAGTTTTTTTTACTTTCTATTAACTAATTATTCAACTCATTAATAAAAATACCTAAAATCGGGCGTTTTACTGTTCTAGATAAAACCATGCCCGACTATTTTCAATGCAGGGCTACCGTTTTATTTCAAGCGGAGAATTTAATGCTAAAAACCCAAAATGGGGAACCGTTTTTCTAAAAAATTAGTGGTTGGGCATTACCTCCACTGTGAACCAATAGGCAATGACAACTTATCAACATTTACCCTCTCTGATCCTACTTATTGGCCTTCACAAAACAACTGACTACCCGACATCCTGGACTTTTTTGTTTACAAAATGCCTAGTAATATTCATAGCACTATAATAGTCTATAAATACAATCTTTATGACCTATTCACTGATCACACACCAACCTTATTTGAAATTGGGTTAATCCCCAGAATACCAAATAGAGAAACACTCTTACTCCTGGTCAAATGGACTAGTCAATCTTTAAAAAAACTTTATTGACGACATTAAACTAAACATTTCTTTAAAACGAATGAAATAAATGAAGCGTTAGAATCTCTGACCTCATCAATACTGAACGCTGCATTGGTGTTATTTCATTTCGAAAACTAACCAAACCACGCTTTATAAAATGACTCAGCAGCCAACACATACAAATCTTATTAGTAGAGAAACGTAAGGCTAGAGCCAAGTGACAAAAACTAAAATACCCTATCGATAAGATTAAATTTAATCAATTAAGTAACAAACTAAAGATAATTCGATAAAAACGACTTTTATAATTGATATGTTGAATCTCTCACTACAACCAACTGCTCCCTATGGAAGGCAACCAAATCCCTACTTTGATTAAAACAATCTGCCACCCCTCTTCTCAAAGCAGACCACTCTTGAAAAAGCTAACACCCTAGCTGAGCATCTATCTAAATGCTTTACTCAAGATATTCAGCCTAGTGCTTCACAAATACAAATAATGGATAGCTGTCTTAAATTACCATTTTATATGTCACTTCCAATTAAAATCACCTCTCCTGATGAAATCGAATAAATTATCAAAAAATTCTCTATCAAAAAATCACGAGGCCATGACCTGATTAGTAATCTTATTGCAAAGAACCTATCCAATAAAATCATTATTTTCTTATTACACATATTCAATGCTCTACTGAGGCTATCACACTTTCTAAGCACTCGGAAACACTTGGTCTTCATTTTTATCCCTAAACACAATAAATCACCATAAGAGCCTGTCTCACACAGTGAGCCTATAAGTCTTCCTCCAATATTTTTTAAAATGTCAGGTAAAACCTGTTTTCTAAAGCCAAAGGAATACCTTATATATTGTTAATACTATTTTTAGCCAGCTACTTTTTTTTTGTAATGTAAAATAATTTACTGACCTGTTGATGAGTGCGTAGTGTTGAAGTCGAAAAATGAAGTATGTGGTTTACTGGTAGAAACCTTAAAATCTATGGCCTGCACGCGTGCGATTTCAGAAAGATTATTTTTTTATTAAATAAAAGTTTTAATTTATAATGGACACTCGAGTATCGTTCTTTTATTTTAATGAAATAGAAAATTAGAAGAAAAAAGCAATGAACAAGTCAGTAGGGCCAGACTCCAGTAAGTAGAAATACAACTCTACAGTGGTTGAAGTCCTTACAGATGACTCGTCGATGGGTATCTTGGAATTTAATCGTTTTAACCATGTGATAATTAAATTATCAAATATTATTCCCAAGTATAGATTAATTATGTAGAACAGGTGGTATCCCCTAGCTGCGTAGAACTAATTCAATTCTAGTCTTATATATTTTCGTAATTATATGGTGTATTAATTACATTTTAATAAACTTAATAATTTATTGAAGCTGAAAAAATAATTTTTGAATATTACATTAGAGAAAAATATTTTCTATGAAATATCATAATAGGTAGGTATGTAATAAAATGTATACAAATTGTTAAGATCAATCAACATCGCCAGTTAGGCACATCACTTAAATATATGTAGCTGTTTTTAGATTTTACTAAAATGTTGAGTGCTTCATAATACTTTGATGCCATGAGTTATTTTAATTTTAGTAATTTAATGCTATTGCCTATTATGTTAGATAATTTTAGTAAGCATGCATAGTTTTTGTGTATTAGGTACCTATATAATTATAATATGTACAATGTACATACATATTCACGATTTTAAAATTAACTGAAGAGCACTTACCTAATAGTACCATATGTATGTGTACTAATCTTTATAAGGTTACTGGTACCTCAGCATTTAATATTATTAATACCTACCATTTAGCAGATGTGGAATGTTAATTCGTAAAATTCTAGGAATTAATTTTACTATCGTTTATCGTTATAATAAAATAATATCAATATTTCGTGTTTATAGTTAAGTAAACACTATACATATACTAGATATTATATAAATAAATATAAACTATACCATATAGTATATACTAGCTGATCCTGTGCACTTCACAACCCGTTAAAAATGTAAACTCTACATATATGAGACTCGCTTGTGATAGTAGGCTACAGCCTATTTGCGCCCCAGAGTAGTACATTTGCGCCCCGAGGGATATGGACAGTTGCGCCCGAAAGATAAGGTACTACCACTACCTGCCGATTTATAGCCCATATGCGCCCATTTCGTATGCAACGTTGCCGTTGTGATTCATATTATTATAGATTATATTTATCTTGATAAATAACTTAAATTATTTAGATTACCTAGTAGATTATATTATAATATATATTATATTATTATATTTTCCGAAATTTTTTTTTTTTTTAATTTGAAATTTTTATTTTATTTGTATAATTTTATGTGAGATGAATTATTACTAATTATTATTATTATTATAATCTACTAATTGTGCAGTTATTATTTATTTTATTATTATTTACTGTAGTAATAATTCATCTCACATAAAATTATACAAATAAAATAAATATTTCAAATTAAAAAAAAAAAAAATTTCGGAAAATATAATATAAGATTGAGTACATGCAATTATTATAAAAATTAATACTGTTGATTTTTCTCACTTCATATATAATAATAAAAAATATTTTATCATAAGTTAAACCTTAAGGTAATATAATAATAAGTTCATATTTATATTTCAAAAATGTTAAAAAAAAATTAAATAAAAATTAATAATGTTGATTTTTTCACATGTCATATAAGGTATGTCTCATATATGTCTCATATATGTCTCATATATGGTAATAAGTAGTATTGCTTGGTATTCCAGAATACAGTTTGGCAACGTTGTACAGGTTTAACACATTTTCATTAAAAATATTTCGGGCGCAAGTGGGTTATAAAAAAGGTGTGATGGGCGCAAATGATTTGCACCGTGATAGTATATTATCTGCAGGTAGGTTAGATGCTTACTCTGTATGAATAATAGGTTTTTTTTAAAATTTTTATTTTTATTTTGGTGCAGACACGCCGATGAGAGGCTAAAAGTGCAACTCAGCCACCTTTTCAGGCAGTATGTGAAAATTTGATTCGATGCATGCTTCGATGAACGAATGGCAACCAATATACAAAAAAAAAATACCATAATTCATTTCTACTGAATACATTTATATTTCTCCTATAACCAATAACAACCATTTATAAACAAAAATTTCCTTCGTAAATCTCAAAATCCCTGTTTGAGCAACCCTCCGGGGTATACGACCTATCCTATCGCGTCCGATTGTGAATCTAAATCATTCAGGGAACCACTCAAACACGTACAAAAAACTTCATCAAAATCGGTTCAG